AAAAAAAAAAAAAAAAAAAAAGAGTCATAACTTATTAAACAGCCACGGCTTTTGAGCTTGCTGCTCAACAACAAGCCCAAATGCACGCCGCCATTTATCAAAACCACTAAGCTTTGGACTACCTGCTAACAGAAAAAGAAGGAGTATGTGGTAAATTTAATAACTCTGTTGTTTGCAAATAGATGATAGTAGTAAAGCTATAACTGCTATAGCCACCAATATTAAAAAGCTTGCCCCATGTCCCAGCACAAAAATGACATGGCAAAAAAATTGGCAAAATCGAGACATGTTCTCGAGTCTGGGAGGATGTAAGGACATTATTGGATCTGTAATCCTATTGTTGGAATCCTGTCTTATCCTCCCTTGCATGGCCCCAATAATTATGAACTCCATCTCTAAGTTTGTGGAAACAGTTGTTGAACAAAAAACTGCAGCTCACATAATGTTAATACACCAAATTGAAGATGATGCTCTTTAGCCCATGAAGGGTCGAGCAACAAAGGGGAGAATGTGGCAGACAGAAGCTAAAAAAAAGTTAAAATGATTCCTTTTAATAAATCAACCTGCAAACTCCAAACCTGCTAGACATGGAACGTGAGAAAAACCAGACAGCCACAAGTTGCTTTCCTGTAAGTGCAAGATAATAATCGATTCACAACCTTACCCCTGTATCCTCTCTGTGAAGTTATTGGTTTACAACCCCCTGCTTGTCATGTATAGCCTATAAACAGTTTGTTCTTTGAAAATTTGTTTTTGCTGATTACAACCTTGCAAATTCTAAAAAAAAAGAAAATGTATAACCATACATCCCGACCCTCTCCCTTACCTAAACTAACATATAAACCCCTTCTCTTCTTTATCCGGGTTGCTCAGCATTAGCTCACTGAGTGGTGCCGGCACAAATAAAACGCTGCTTCCTGAATTAGCCTCGGTGTCATGGTCTCTCTGTTTTCCCGCAACAAAACTATGTCCTGGAGAAATCCATTTTTTATCTTGTTCCTAAAACCTAACACAATAATGAGAAAGTAGAGGCTATATCCTGAAGAAATGCATCCTCTAGGTAAAGATTAACTTTATCGACTTTGTCTTTTCAGAAACACAGACTCCTTAAGCATGACTGGTACCGGCCTATTGTAATTTGCCTTTTATGGAAACTCAAATTTTTCAAGCATGACTAGTATCAACCCATTGTATACTCAGTTCATGGTGACCAGGACCCCTCAGGGTCTCCAAGACTCTGCAAGTGGTCAACAAGGAAGTCACAACAGTCACATCTACCTGATTGCAACATCTTGAGGGGAAAGGATTTAAGCCGGGGCTTGGGGAGCTATGTTGCCACACTGATCTAGAGTGTAGGCCTGCCTCCTGTCTGTGGGAAGTGATCTCTTTCTTACATAAATCATTTCTTCTTTTACCTCTTTCTGTGTCGCAAATGTTTGCATTACTGGAATTTCTGGTGGCCAGTGCGCACCTCCAGCACGCTGGCTCCGGCAGTGCTGCGCCACTCCATCCATCCACCCTCACCCACTCCGTACCCTAACAGAGACCTCTTCTCTACACTAAATCAAAAAAATTAGCAGGGTGTGGTGGTGTGTGCCTGTGGTTCCAACTACTTGGAAGGCTGAGGTGGAAGGATCACATGAGCCCAGCAGGTCAAGGCTGCGGTGGCCATGAGCATGCCACTGCACTCCAGCCTGGGCGACAAAGTGAGACTCCCACTCAAAAAATAATTAAATAAAACGTATTTATGGCCAGGCATGGTGACTCACACCTATAATCCCAACATTTGGGGAGGCCGAGGTGAGAGGATTACCTGAGCCCATGGGTTTGAATTGGCGAGACTGCGTCTCTACAATAAATCAAAAAATTAGCCAGGTGTGGTGGTGCGCACCTGTGATCCCAGCTACTTGGAAGACTGAGGCGGAAGGGCGGCCTAAGCCCAGCAGGTCAAGGCTGCGGTGGCCTGTGAGTGTGCCACTGCCCTCCAGCCTGGGTGACAGAGTGAGACTCCGACTCAAAAACAAAACAAAACAACAAAAACCAGATTTGTTAATTTATGCCTGCAACTTTGCAGGACTCAGGTCCTTTTCGTAGCTTTGGTTCTGCCGCCCTATATGAATCTTATGTAGACCGTTTAATTCGGTCTCCATTTTCCTGGGCGGAGAATGTGCCGTCTGGTTCCTCCGGCTTGTCCTCGTTGTAAAGAGACTTTGAAGCGACCCCGGGTCCTGAGCGCACCTAAGGGAACAAGGTGCGCGGAACGTGACTAGCGGCTGCTCCGTGGAAGGAAAGCTGCACCACCCAGAAGGCATTGCGCCGTGGCGGGCTCTGGGCCAATGACGGGCCAGGAGAGGGGCGCTTCCTGAGGCCTAGAGAGCGGAGGCGGGACTTCCGGCTCCCTGGGTACGTCATCTTTCTGCGCTGGGTCGCTCCTGACACTCGGTGGGTTTTGGGGCGGTGGGCGGGGCGCGCTTGGTGGCCCGCGCGGGGAAGGGCACCCCCCCCTCCGCGTCTTGGCACGAGCCTGACGGGCCCCTTTCCTAACGGGGTGTCCCCTGGGGGCCCGCCTTCGTCTCCGCAGCCCCAACGCTGTGTCCTCGACTTTGTGTTTTACGCGAGGGAAACTGAGGCTTGGCCAGGCAGCTCGGCCCGCTTGGGACGGAGACGGGAGAAGGGCTAGGGGTCGGCCGAGCACACGGGATCCCCCGCTCGGGCCTCAGGGTCCCCGGATGGCGGCGGCGCTGATGGACTCTGCGCGGGTGAGTGGGCCGAGTTCCTGGCCTGCTGCGTTGCACTGGTTCCGAGAGGCCTCGGGGCCAGAGTGGAGGCCAGGAAGGCCGCTGGGAGTCTCTCGGTCGTCGTCTGTTCCTGAGGCGCGGCCGTGGCCGGTCGGGGGTCTCGTCCGGGCGCGGGTGGCGCGGTGGCGGGGAGGAGCGCTTCCGCCGAAGGGCTCGCTCTCGCTGGCGGTAAACCCAGCCTCGCCTGTGGCCCTCGAGACCCCGCCTCAGCCTCCCTGGCCAGCCGCGTCGCTGCCCGTCGTTCCCAGGTCTGGTGCTCTGCGGGCCCGCGCGCGCCTGAGCACACAGAGTTAGTCGCTTTCACTCCCCAGCCCACGTCCCTGCTCTAACCTTTGTCTGGAGCACAGGCCTGCGTCTCAGGCTCTGGCCTCTGCTCAGATGCCCCCTACTCGGAGAGTTCTGGCTGAAGGGACGCCTGGCAGAACCTGGCACTTTGTGTAGGGAATCTGCCACGATTAGAGAAGCTTGCGGGATTGAGTTTGTTCGGAGGAAGAAGAACAAATAAATAATGACAAAGAATGCTAGTAGCTGTCCTTCATTAAGTCCTTGCTGTGGGCTGAGAGGCAGGCATCATGTATCACCTCATTGAATCCTCATCTCTTTGATTTAGGTTCTATTGTCATCACTGCTTTACACAAGAGCAACTTCAGGCACACGTAAGTCCAGTTACCTGCCCTAGATCACTGTAGGTCCTAAGAATCAGAACTAACAACTGGTGGACCAGTTGTGTTTCGCCCATCACAGCCTGTATTTTTACCATCTTCTCTACCATCATGGATCAGAAGCCCTTTTCAAGGTGAGCAGGCCTTCCAGCAGGTGGTCTTGGGCATGCAGGACATGGCATGTCAGCAGCTGGACCTGTGTGGACAAGAGAATGGCATAGTGGCTATTTAAGGGGTCCCCAGGGGACCTGTGTGGTTTCTATTTGTTTACTGAGTGGTTTTCTTCTGTAGCAGCTGACACATGTCCTGATTGTGTGTTCACGTTGCTGAATGTTCCTACTCAGCCAGGATGGACATGGCCAGTCAACAGCCCATGTTCTCATGTCCACAGCCTTTTATGTCCTTTCTGACTCTTGTTTTCTGCTTCTGAAGTATCCTGACCTCAGGGATCTGTGCTGGTAAGACTCTAGTAGGAAAAAGAAGTGGCGTTTGTTGTGGGTTCTCCCTAGGCATCTATGAGGCCCAAAGGAGTGCCCAAAGCAAGAGAAGCAGGTCCAGGCCCTGCCTTTTTGAGGCAAGTGCCACCCTTTCACGTGACTCTTCAATGAGGTGCGTGATGATGACTACACTTTTCTACCTTGTCCATAAAAATATTTTCAGGTTTGCTAAAGTGGACATATGGGTTTGAAAAGTTTCATGTCCTCATTAACTGTGCGTTAACTGCCTACAGAGGAGTGTGTCAGGTTACATGATTAGAACATAGACCAGAGGGCCTGAGTTGAAATTCTGCTTCTGCTGATAGGACCTGTGACTTTGGGTGAAGTGGTCGAGCTCCTGGGGCTCAGGTCTCTTGAGTGTGACATGAAGATGATGGTGGGGTTAAACTTGGTGTTCAACACTGAACCTTTGCCTCAATGTTTCCTTTACAAACATTTTTTTCTTTCATTCTTAATGATTGTTCTTGGAGAAGTGGAAACTGTTTATTGATGTGGAAATCGAGGCTGAGATAAATGAAATGAGGTCCCCAAGGTCACACAGCCAGTATGTGTTGAATTCAGGAGTTTAGTGTTACCCCTCAGGAGTCTGGCTCCTGAGTTGGAGACGTTGAGTCAGTTTAATGTGAAATGCAAAGCCCTCAGCACAACGCAGGCACATAAGGAGGACCAGTAAGACTCAGGTCTGTTCCTTTCATTGTTACTGGTATTATGTTTATTATTATTTTTCTTTTCATGACTCTGATGTCTCAGAGCACTTACTGCCTGTGCCTTGTAGTCTACTCAGTATTGTGCTAACCGTATTTCTATCTCCAGTGGCTTCTACAGTGGAGGCTCTCTCTCCTCTACACTGCTGTAATCTGCTCAAGGGAGCACATGCCTCCCCTCTCAGGCTGGCATAGATCTCAGCCCTCTGGAGGTACTTTGTGTTGTGGCCCTTAGTCTCTGTGCATACTTTGCAGTGCTGACTGTAAGATTTTAATCCTATGTCACAGTCACAAGGAAAACATAATTGCCTCTGTTTGACATTCCAGGTGTCTGTGACCTTGGAGGATGTGGCTGTTATGTTCACGCAGGAGGAGTGGGGACAGCTGGATCTGACCCAGAGGTCCTTGTACTTGGAGGTGATGCTGGATACCTGTGGACTTCTGGTCTCTCTGGGTAAGGCTCCTCTTCTCCGTCATGGTTTCTCAGAGTCCAGTCCCAGCTCTTCTGCTTATGGCTCTTGAACCTTTCTGTGCCTCAATTTTCTCATGAGCAAAATGGGGTAATATAGTACAGGCATACCATTTCTTTATTTTGTTTGTTTTTTGAGTTGGAGTATCTCTCTTGTCACCCAGGCTGGAGTGCAGTTGAATGATCATGGCTCACTGGAGCCTCAACCTTCTGAGCTTCAGGTGATCCTTCTGCTTCCGCCTCCCAAGTAGCTGGGAGTACAGGTGTGTGCCACCATGCCAGCTAATTTTTTGATTTTTGTAGAGACGAGGTCTTGCTATGTTGCTTAGGCTTGCCTCAAACTCCTGGATTCAAGCAGTCCTCTCATCTTGGCCTCCCAAAGTGATAGGACTACAGGCATGAGCCACCATGCCCAGCCTAAAAGTAAAGTTTTGAAAATGTATACAAAAGAAAGAAAGAAAAAAACTCCATAATGTCCTCTAAGTTTTTAAGTGAAAAGAAGAGTTGCATGTCTTTCACTTTAAATCAAAAGCTAGAAATAATTAAGCTTAGCGAGGAAGGCATGTCAGAAGGTAAGATAGTCCAAAAACTAGGCCTCTTATGCTATACAATTAACTAAGTGGTAAATGCAAAAGAAAAATCCTTGAAGGAAATTAGAATTGCTGCTCCAATGAATATATAATTGATAAGAAAGCAAATTAGACCGGGCTCAGTGGCTCAGCCTGTAATCCCAGCACTTTGGGAGGCCGAAGTGAGTGGATTGCCTGAGCTCGCCGGTTCGAGACCAGCCTGGTCACCTTGGCGAGACCTTGTCTCTACAATAAAATTTTAAAAAATTATCCGGGCGTGTAGTGTGCGCCTGTAGTTACAGCTACTTGGAAGTCTGAGGCGGAAGGATTGCCCGAGCCCAGCAGGTCAACGATGGAGTGGCCATGAGTGTGCCACTGCATTCCAGCCTGGACTACAGAGTGAGACTCTGACTCCAGCCTTCCAAGTAGCTGGAACTACAGGCACGCGCTACCACACCCGGCTCATTTTGATTTATTGTAGAGATGAGGTCTTGCCAAGTTGCCCAGACAGGTCTCAAACCCGCGGGCTCAGGCAGTCCACTCACCTCTGCCTCCCGAAGTGCTGGGATTATAGGCTGAGCCACTGAGCCCGGCTTAGCTCATGGTTTTACATAGTGTCAGGAACTCCTGGGCTTCTGGTGAGGTTTCAGGAAACTTACGATTTTGGCAGAAGCCGGAGAGGGAGCAAGTATGTCTGTACAAAAGTTTTGAAAAATAGCAAGGTGTGGTGGCACACACCTCTGGTCCTAGTTACCAGGAAAGCTAAGGTAGAAGGATTGCAGGAAGTAGAGGTTACCGTCAGCTGGGATTGTGCCACTGCCCTCCAGACTGGGCAACAATGTGAGACCCTGTCTTAAAAAAAATGTAGAAAAAACTTAGATCAGTTAAGACAGAAAACAAGACCTTTCCAGTGATACTCTGCTACACACCCTTTTCCACCCTCTCCACTCACGCATCCACTAAGTGCCAGACACTTAGAATTGGTCCCTTCCTCCGTGTCTTCTTGTGCTTCCTGCTTTATAGAACCTCAGAGTACCATGTGGCCTTTTCTGCCCTATATTTGTGCATCTGGAGGCATTGGGGCCGTCATGTGTGTTGATTGGCCCCACTGTAGTAATGGTATGTCTTCTCTGATAGTCCCTTGGGCTGCTCACCTAGCCTGTGAATGTATCTTTCCAGGCCTGCTTTAGCCCCTCATTTTTTTTCTGAACTTTACCCATGAACTCCATCGCACGTCTCCTGTGAATGTGGGAAAGCTACCTCAAACTAAACATGTAAAGAAGGAGCTTCCATTGTTGCCCACTTCTCTCACCTCCCAGGTATCAAGTGAATGGTCAAGCCATGCTAGCAAATTAGAAGACTGATACAACCTCAGAGAACTCCTCCACACCTTTGCTCCATCAGTTCCCACATCTCAACATCTCCAAGTCCAGTTCATTTTACATCATGCTGTTTCTTGAAGCCCTTCCACTACCTACTATAGGCCTATTCTCATACTCCTTGTATAAGTTAGCGTCTTTTGCCAGGGTGATGCCAAACCACTCCTATCTGGTCTCCCCATGACTCATTTGTGCCTCTAATCTGCTCTGTCTCCTGCACCAGCTCCCCAGGCTATCAGACCTTGTTGGAAACATTCAGCCCCACCAGCCATTGCTGTCTCAGCATATGACCACCAATGGGCCAGCATATTTTTACATGGAAAGTTTTTGTGTTGTTTGAGCCTCAAGATTTACATATTCACTTAAATGTCTTGTATGTGTTAGCTTCCATTCTCACCTCCCTAGAAGACTTGCTCTGGACCATGGCCAATTCCTGGACCCGTATCTAGATCAAAACTTTTCAGGGAACTTGCTTCTTCACTTCTTTTCTGCTTCTTTTCTAACTTTATCTGATCTCTGTTATAAAAATATGCTAAATTTCTTTACACTTGGGAAAAGTAAAGCAAATTTTTAAAATCCTTTAATGACTTAACTTTCTTGGTATAATCAATCTTCTTGGACATGTCTCATTTATTTATTTATTGTGACGGGTTCTCTTGTTTGTTTGTTTATGTATGTATGTATGTATTGTGATGGATTCTCACTCTGTTGTGGCACTGTCATAGTTCAGTGCAGCCTTGAAATCTTAGGATCAAAATCCTCCTGCCTTAGTCTCTCAAATAGCTGGGACTACAGGTGCACTCCACCATACCCAGCTAAGGTTGTCTCCTTTAAGAGATGTCTAGGCCAGACTTGACTCAGCCTATAACCCTAGCACTTTGGGAGACCGAGGCGAATGCATTGCCTGAACTCACAGATTTGAAACCAGCCCAGGCACCTTGGCAAGACCTCATCTCTACAACAAATAAAAAATTAGCTGGGCATGGTAGTGCATGGCTGTAGTTCTGGTTACTTGGAAGGCTGAAGCAGAAGGATCACTGGTGCCCAACAGGTTGACGCTAGGGTTGCTGTGAGCATGCCACTGCACTATAGCCTGGATGACACAGTGACTCCAACTCAAAAAAAAGAGAGAGAGATGTGTATGGACCTGATGTGGTGGCTCACGCTTATAATCCCAGCACTTTGGGAGGTGAAGACAAGAGGATTGCCTGTGTCCATGGGTTCAAGACCAACCTGGGCAACATGGTGAGACCTCATCTCTACAATAAATCAAAAAATTAGCTGGGCATGTTGGCGTATGCCTGTAGTTCTAGCTACTTGGAAGGCTGAGGCAGAAGCATTGCATGAGCCCAGCAGGTCAAGGCTGCAGTGGCCGTGATTGTGCCACTGCACTCTAGCCTGGGCCACAGAGTGAGACGCCAACTCCAAAAAAAAGTGATGTCTGTGTAACTGGGTGTGGTGGCTCACACCTATAATCCCAACTCTCTGGGAGGCAGAGGCTAGAGGATTGCCTGAGCCAAGGGATTCGAGAACAGCCTGGGCAACTTGGTGAGACCTCATTTCTCCAATAAGAACAAAAAAAATTAGCCAGGTATGGTGGTGCACGCCTGTGCTTCCAGCTGCTTGGAAGGCTGAGGCAAGAGGATCACCTGAGTCCAGCAGATCAAGGCTGTGGTGGCCATGAGCATGCCACTGCACTCCAGGCTGGGTGACAGAGTGAGACTACAACTTAAAAAATAAAATAAATTTAAAAAATAAATAATGGATGTCTATACTTGTGTTCCTTATCTCCTATTTGCCCGTATTTTAGTTTTTCAATTAGATAAAATTCATATGCTATATTGTGCAAAACTCTTAAGAAGTCTACTTGATGTTGTTTTACTTATATTTAAACACAAATAACTATCACCTACATCAATATATAGATTATTTTTAGTACCTCAGCAGGGTTTCATACCTGCAGTAGCTCGTACTCAGACTTCATCAGCATAGGCTGGTTTTGTTCTTGAACCTCTGCAATATGCTCTCTGTCATATCTCTCTTCTTTTGATCATCATGTCTGTGACATTCTTTTCAGACATGAAAAGAATACAGTATACAGATGGAGTTGGTTCATTGTCAATATGTTGTAGTATCTCATTGTATGAAAAACTGCCATTTACTTGTCCATTTCCCTATCGATGGATGTTCCTATTCTTTCGATTTTTTGGATATTATGAAATGCAATGCTGAGAATGTTGTTCATGTGTTCTAGTAGACATAAACACTGACTTCTGTTAGGACTATACTCTAGTGTACATACAGATCAAGTCATAGAGTAGGTGTATGTCCAGCTGTTTTCACAGAAACTGCCCATCACAGTTCTACATTATGACTACATTTCACATTCCTGCCTTTAACTTGTGAAAGCTTCCTTTGCTGTACATCCTCATCAATGCTTGATAACGCTATTCCCTCTACTCCATCTCCCCATGATGAAGTTTCTCTGTACCATGATGCTGAAACCATTGTAAAGTTACTGCTTTCATCCTGATTTTCAAATACAACAGTGACCATAATGATAAATGGTGATGGCCCACAATTTACCAAACTCTTATGCAGTGTCTTATACTGTGCCAAGTGCTTAATAGGAATTTTCCTATTTAACCCTCACCACAGCCTACAAGGCAGAAATGGAGTCTCTCGATTTTTAAGATGAGGAAATTGAGGCTGGGGTCAACTAAATAATTTGTCTAACATGAGATGACTTGGTACAAGCAGGATTTGAACTGAGATATTCTGACTCCAGAGCTATACTCTTAACCTCCCAGCAATATGAACTCTTGATGTAGCACAAACTTTTCATATTTTGTACTTGGGCATCTGGTCCAATTAAATTTGCTTTTCATATTCCCACTGAACTTTTGTTCTCTCTTTTTTTGTTGTTTTTTGTTTTTTTGAGTTGGAGTCTCACTCTGTCACCCAGACTGGAGTATAGTGGCCACTCCTGGCCACTGCAGCTTCGACCTGCTGGACTCCGGCGATCCTTCCGCCTCAG